TACAGTTATTTGACTAGTAAAGAAAAAAGTGCTCAATAGTACAAGACACATGCTACATTTTTGTGGCATTTTCTATTTCCACTGTTAGAATGTAAGCTCCATGCAGGGAAGGCCTGAGTTAATTTCATCTTTGTGACTTGCATTACAGAAACATCAAGCATATAAAAGGGCACAATAACTAATTGTTATTGAACAACTGAAAAACACTGATATTTTAACCAAGGTAAAAATAAGCATACAATATCAGATTGGGAAGTGTCTTAATTTGGGTTCTCCCAGAAGCAGATGCTGAAGCAACAATTCCTGAACAAATCGTTTATTTAGGAGGGGTATTAATTTCGTGTCACTGCTGTAACAAATTACTGCAAATTTAGTGGTTTAAATGAACAAACATCTATTTTCTTTCAGTTCTGGAGGTCAGAAGTCCAAAATGGATCTCACTGGGCTCAAACCAAGATGTTGGCAGAGTGCATTCCTTCTGGAGACTCTTGGGGAGGATCCCTCCGCCCTCCTTTTTTTGTCATTGTCCAGCTTCTAGAAGCCACCTGCAATTCTGGGCTTGTGGCACCTTCCTCCTTCTTCAAAGCCAGCAGTGTACCATCTTCCAATTTCTCTCTAACTCTATGGTTGTCATCACACTTCCTTCTCTGAATCTGACTCCCTTGCCTCCCTCCTTCACCTATGAGAGCCCTTGTGATTACAGTGGGCACACCCAAATAACCTAGGGCAATCTCCCCATCTCAGGATCCTTAATTTAATCTGCATCTGCAAAGTCTCTTTGGCCATCTAAGAGAGCAGATTCACAAGTCCCAGGATTAGGATGTGAACATCTCTCAGGGTATTTATTCTGCTGACCACAGGAGGTAACACCAGGAAACAGTGGTAGGGGAGTGAGAGGAAGTGAGGTAGGAAAGGGAAAGAAGTCAATAAAACATGAGTTAACAACACAGTTATCATCGAGGGAAACTGGGACTCAGCCCTGCAGGGAGACTCTGCGAGACAGAGTGGATATGCTTCAGAGTTACCCTGAAAGAGTTAACCTAGAATAACCCACTAACTCCTCATCCATCACCAGTTGAGGGCTGCCCCTAGGATCATTAACTCTCGGTCACTTCTGAAACCTGTCCTGTCATGGCAGAGTATGTTCCCATGACCAGAAAGAGAGTACTAGAAAGAGAGCTGCAGGTGTTTTAACCAGGTACTTGCCATCGGGTGTATGTCTAGGAAATATATAGAGGGTACCAACAGCTTCTTGTGAAGGAAGAAACTTCTAGGTCATCTAATCCAATGACATCTTTTTTCAGAAGAGCAACTAGAGGCCCAGAATGGTGGTGGTGGTGGGCGGGGGGGAGGAGGATTACCCAAGGTCTAATGACCAAAGAAGAGCACTGATGGTGGCTTCCCTTCAGTGTCTCAGGCTACTATGTGTTAGGCACTGTACCAGTAGCTGGACACATGCTCCCAGTTCTTAAAACTCAACACAGCCAAAATGAAACTCATAATCTTTCTGCCTATACCTATATTGCCTCCTTTCTGGTCCCCAGCCTATGACTGTCTCAGGGGCCACATCATAGTCATCGTTTTGAGGGACCACTTCTATCCTCATACCTAGCATACTCTCCAGTATGCATGAGTGTACTACTTAAATTTTGAAGGAAAAAAGGAAGGAAGAAAAGGAAGGAAGGGGGAAGAAAGGAAAGAAAAGAAGGTATTTTTATACTCTTTATGCAGTGGCTTAAAATGGAGGTCTAGAGTGGAAAAGATGTAAAGGCAGCACTGCTGCATTCAGAAGAGATGAGGTCCCAGGGCCCCTGCAGCCAGGCATAGGCATCCCCCACCCTCTATACTCTAAGTTCCATGTATAACAATGTGAAGATTCCCCCATCTAAATAATGGGATATTATCTCACCAATGAAGGGTTATCACTTCCACTCTGCACATGGAGGATCTCTTTTGCTGTCATGTTAAAAAAAAAAAGCCACTTTTTGGGCAAAGGATATGAACAGACACTTTTCAAAAGAAGACTTTTATTCAACCAACAGACACATGAAAAAATGCTCATCATCACTCGCCATCAGGGAAATGCAAATCAAAACCACAATGAGATACCATCTCACACCAGTTAGAATGGCAATCATTAAAAAGTCAGGAAACAACAGGTGCTGGAGAGGATGTAGAGAAATAGGAACACTTTTACACTGTTGGTGGGAGTATAAACCAGTTCAACCATTGTGGAAGACAGTGTGGCAAGTCCTCAAGGATCTAGAACTAGAAATAGTATTTAATCCGGTGATCCCATTACTGGGTATATACCCAAAGGATTATAAATCATGCTGCTATAAAGACATATGCACACGTATGTTTATTGCAGCACTATTCACAATAGGAAAGACTTGGAACCAACCCAAATGTCCATCAATGATAGACTGGATTGAGAAACTGTGGCACATATACACCATGGAACACTATGCAGCCATAAAAAAGGACGAGTTCATGTCCTTTGTAGGGACATGGATGAAGCTGGAAACCATAATTCTGAGCAAACTGTCACAAGGGCAGAAAAGCAAACAATGCATGTTCTCACTCATAGATGGGAATTGAACAATAAGAACACTTGGACACAGGGCAGGAAACATCACAAACCAGGGCCTGTTGTGGGGTGGGGGGAAGGGGGAGGGATAGCATTAGGAAAAATACCTAATGCAAACGACAAATTAATGGGTACAGCAAACCAACATAGCACATGCATACATATGTAACAAACCTGTACGTTGTGTACATGTACCCTAGAACTTAAAGTATAATAATAATAATTTTAAAAAGCCACTTTTATTCAAGGGGACTTTCTTTAGAGAAACATTTGGACAATCATGGGCCCAGTGAGGAAAAGAAAATGATTTTAACGACAGATTATGAAACATCTCTACTTGCCTTCTGAGCTAAGAAGTAAAGAGAAGATAACAAATCAGCCTCATAGTGTTATCTGCATGGTGATACTATAGTATTACTGTAGTATAATGTTACAAATTATAACTTTATTATTTAAGTTAAATTTTAAAAATTACAGTCCCATTATTTCAGAGTAGATATTTTCTAACTTTATCAATGTGTGTATAATAAATGTTAATTATTAAAACGTGCCAGAAATAACATCTTGATTAACTAACTCTATCAATAAACCGATTTCCCATAGTCCTTCTTACCTTCAGATATGGAAAATTCCCTAAGGGCCACTTATCTGGAGGCAGAGCTCTTTAGCCTGCCTAACTTACCGAAATCTATACTCCAGAAAATTTCTAGTGGTTCCAGTTGCCAAAAAGGTATCTCTAAATGAATTATTATGATTCTTTATAGCTTTTGGGTTTAGCCATATTTTTAGAGGGAAATTTCAAATTCCGAAGGAGATGACTTCATCTGGGCAAATATTTTACTGTAAAAGGTACGACACTCAGTACTTGTTAAACTCTCATTCAAAACTGCGTCAGGAGACAAAATCTCCCCCAAGGAAGGGCAGAGGAGAAGATGTTGACAGGTCCATAATGAGCTATAACCATGTATGTGCATCCCTAGAGACATCATTTTCTGGGCTCATATTTTCCATTTTAATGTCACAACAGAACAGGAAGCGCCTCCAAATTATACCACCAGCCCCTGCAACCAGTCTTAACTACTGCTATGACTCATTAAAGGCCAGAAAATTCCCTTGAAAGTGAAATCATATGTCCTATAGGGTAGGTGAGGTATCTATAAGGATAGCTACCAAAACTAAACAAACAAAAAACTAATTTGAACAAACTCTAGTGTTCACAATTGATTTCATTACATTGATTTTTTCATTTGCAGTTTCTTTTCCAAATTTGTGCTTTTCATTGCTCCTTCACATTGTGAGGGGAATTAAGTCCCTGGAAATAATATACCTTTATATTGGGATGCTGCCAAGACTGTAGGCACATAAATCTATGAGACACGTGTTGGCCACTAATTCTACAAATCTGGCTGGTTCAGCCAGGGTCACTCCCCTTTCTTCCTGTCCTACATCAATGCAAGTGCCTCCCAACGAAGCATGACCAAAGAGGATGATGAATAATCTTTCATTAGAAGGAGACTGTGCCTCAAACTGTTTTTTAAAGGCAAAAGATAATAAATAAGTACTAGAAAGTCCAAACTTACAGCTACATCTGTAGACAAAACTATTTTAAAAAAGGAAAGTAAATCTAGTCACTTGGCAAATACTGCTTCTAAATGCTTTAAATTATAATACAAGTATTCAAGAAAAAAGTTAAATTATTCTAACTATATCTTTATTTTCAGACACTAATATAATGTTAGCTCTCTTTAAAATAGAATATATTATATTTTACATTTCTCTAATACTTCCATTTGTGGAAGTGAATATAGGAAAGAATAAATAAAATGTAGGTTTTGTGTTTCTCTCTTCAAATGGCTTTTCTGAGTAATACATAAAAAGCCAATCATGAAGCATCTTAAAAAGGGACCTAAGTGAAGCAGAGTCTGCATTTTAACCAAGTCCCCAGGGATTTGTGTGCAAGGTCAAGTGTGAACAGCGATTAATAGCTCAATAAAAATTACCAGTGTTACAACTTAATAATTGAAAATACAACCCAATTAAAAAATGGGCAATAGATTTGAATAGATATTTTCCCAAAGAAGATGTACAAATGGCCAGTAAACACATAAAAAGATGGTCTACATCACTAGTTATCAGGGATATGCAAATTAAAATCACAATGAAATATCACTTCATAGCTACTAGGATGGCTATAAACAAAAGCATAATAAGAAGTATTGGTGAAAGTGTGGAGAAATTGGAACCTTCAAACATACACTGCTGGTGGGGATGTAAAATGGTGCAGCAGCTTTGGAAAACAATCTGATAGTTCCTCAAATGGAATATAACCTAACGATTCCACTTTTAGACATATACTTAAGAAAAATAAAAACATACATCCATACAAAAATGTGTACATGAGTGTTCACTGCAGCATTATTCCCTATAGCCAAAAGGTAGAAACAACTCAAATGTCCATCAATTAATACATGGATAAACAAAGTGTGGTCTATCCATACCCTGCCACGCAAAGAAATGAAGTACTGGTACTTGCTACAACATGGATAAACCTTGAAAACTTTAAGCTACATGAAAGAAGCCAGTCACAAAAGACTAAACATAGTACAATTTAATTTGTGTGAAACGTCCAGAATAGGCACATCTATAGAGACAGAAAGTAGATTAGTGGTTGCTTAGGGCCAGCTAGGTGGACAGGGAAAAAGGGAAATCAGAGTTATTGGGTATGAGATTCCTTTTGGGGGTCATCAGAATGTTCTAAAATTGACTGTGGTGATGGTTGCACATATCGGTGACTACACTAAAAACACTGAATTTTTTTTTTAAATGAACCCCACTCTCCCAAACTTTCATGTATGGCATACTGCCTAGCCGGAGATATGATGACTTACACCTTAGAACAACAAAAATAAACTTCCAAATAACAAATGCTTTGTACTAAATGACACATTACTTACTGAGCACTTCGTATGTGCAGGGTCCTATGTTGGTCCTACACAGGTGTTTTCTCTTGTAATTCTCCCCACAGTCCTGCGAGATAATTATTATTATTATCACCATTTTACAAACGAGGAAACTGGAGCACTAGAAACACACCCAAGGTCAACTGGCTGATGACCAGTAGCAAAGCTCAGATTTGACCCAGGGACTCTGGGAGCAGAAGCTGCACACAATCTCGCTGTCTTTGGAGTCCCCCTACAAGATACTTTTGCTAACTGTGAACTGGTCAACACAGAGGTGATAGAAGAGCCTCCTCTAGAGCAATGAGAGGTGTAAAACACCCTTCCATTGCTATTTACTATGGTTGGCCAATGTTTAATGATTTGCCCTTGTATCAGTAGACAGATTCTGATAATCAGCTTCAATTTCATCTATTTGAATTTTTCAAAATGTAAAATATTGTGAGAAAAACAGCCAGCCCTTTTTTTTTTATTGGAAAAACATTAGTCAAACAAATCTGCCTATTTTCAGAAATTCCTTGAATGAGTAAAGGACTAGTCAAATTCCACAAGGGGTATGTTTCCATGGGTTACATATAAGGGAAAAAAAGCAAATTTTTCATGTGTGATCATAGGACTCTCATTATCTGTAACAAAAACTCCTGGCAAATTGATCATTCTAATTTGATTATTTAAAGTCACAGCTTGTAGTTAATAATGTATTGTATACTTGAAAATTGCTAAGAGAATAATCTTAAATATTAATATTAAATATAACTGTGAAGTAATAGACATGATAATTAGTTTGATTGTAATAATCATTTCAGAGTGTATACATGTGTCAAAACATCACATTTTATACAATATATATACATATGCAATATTTGTGAATTATACCTCAATAAAGCTAGAAAAATTTTAAATTAAAAAAAGGAAAAAATTACATTGAAACAAAAAATAAATCATAGCTAGCACATATGTAACACTTACTATGCACCGAGTACATTTTAAGTCTTTATATTTACTCATTAAATATTCACAATAGCTCAAAGGTACCTTAAATAATCCCATTTTTAAAATAATAAAACTGAGGAATTTAAGGTTTTCACAGCCAGTTAATGGCAGAGCTGTGAAGTGAAACCAGCTAGTTCACACTCTCAACTGCTACACCTTACTAACTGCTCTCCAGGATGACTGGTGGAAGAACAAGCTATAGCCTCTGCAACTAGAAATTACTGGGCAAACATTAATGTAGTACATTGAAATCAAGTACATCCCACAGTTGTAGTAATTTCTGCAGGCTCAGAAAAGAGTTTTGACAATAAGTGATGCTTGTTGTCACTTAGGAGAACTGGACTAGATTGTTTAAACACACAAAATAAGCCATAAGGGCTGTTCGGTATTACACACTAGATATTTTATCAGGAAAAATATGGCCCACACAGCCAAGAAGTCATCTCTCTGTTACGATCAAATCCTATTGCTCATGTCAGCATGGAATGAAATTATTTTTAAAAGGGAACAGCATAGCCAACTAGTCTATTTGTATTCCTTGCTATAATTTCAAACTTCATGGTTCATTAGATATTTTGGTTTACTTAGCCAATAAGTGTTTCTTAATGGAGAATGATTACAAAGCTAAGCAAATAAAGAACTCCACAACAATAAATCATGATCAACCAGGCTTTATCCCAGGAATTCAAGAAGGTTCAACTTTAGGAAAACTATTAATGGAATTCTCTATGTATTTATATTAAAGATGGAGGAAACAAACATGATCATCTCAAGTAATGCTAAGATATATTTTACAAAATTTCACAGGCTTTCCAGGTTGAAATAAAAATATAACTATCAATAAGTCAAGATGGAAAGAAACTGATTTATCTTGCTTAAGTTAAAAAGTGGTCTCATTAAACTCAGGAGCAAGGCAAAGATGCCTAAATTTGATATTGTACCAGAAGTCTTCAGCAATATGTAAGAAAAGAAGATTTTTTTTTTTTTTTTTTTGAGATGGGGTCTCGCTCTGTCACCCAGGCTGGAGTGCAGTGGCCGGATCTCAGCTCACTGCAAGCTCCGCCTCCCAGGTTCACGCCATTCTCCTGCCTCAGCCTCCGGAGTAGCTGGGACTACAGGCGCCCGCCACCTCGCCTGGCTAGTTTTTTGTATTTTTTAGTAGAGACGGGGTTTCACCGGGTTCGACAGGATGGTCTCGATCTCCTGACCTTGTGATCCGCCCGTCTCGGCCTCCCAAAGTGCTGGGATTACAGGCTTGAGCCACCGCGCCCGGCGAAAAGAAGATTTTTTAAGAGCCTTAAATATGGAAAAGGACTATGCCAAAGTGTTATTATTAACAAATAAATGACTTTCTGTCTACAAATCCAACTTGTCAATTTAAAGTTTATTGGAACTAATATGAAAGCAATAATGTCACTAGATACAAGACCAACTTACAAGTTAATCGATTTCCTATGAGTCATAAATAACCAAATTGAGAACATAGAGGAAAAATATATTTCACCCAGATAAGCAAACACAACCAAGAAACAAACAAAAAATAAATCTGTAAACTACTAAAGAATAAAATTAACAAGAAATGTACCAGATCTATATAAGACAGTTACAGAAGTGAAAAAACTATTAGTTGTGAGGATTACTGTGATCAATAATTATCATCAGATGAAAACTAACATCAGCCACTAAAAGTCTATGGGGGAGAGATACTGAATTATTCTCTTTGATTACTCAGATCCAATTTGCCAAGTAAGTGGTATTTTTCTGATGTGGCCAGCTTCAGAGCCCAAAGCACACCTAATCCCTTTGGTATTTATCCTCATGCTCTCAAGTGTTTATCAACCCCTTCAAGAGTAGAAGGCCCCAATGATATCTTCCTGGACAGCATTCTGTGATACCCCACACAGTACCTTGAACAGGAGGGTCTGCCCACAGGCAGTCATGTGTTGGAGTATTATGAATTGCCATACTATTTCAAAGAATATAAACAACCCATTTATTGAGCAAAATCCCACCTGAGTCTCTTATCTATTCAGATAATTTTGCTGTCAAAACTATTTGGCAGTGCTGATCGTTTGAGTCTGTGCAGCTCTAAAGTGTTATGACTATAATAACTGCAGATGTGTAACAGCATAAAACTCAACAAACATTTTCTTTTTTAATTTTTAAGTTAAGGATACATGTGCAAGTTCATTACATAGGGAAATTAGTGTTATGGAGGCTTGTTGTACAACAAGCCCCACCCTCCATGCTCCACCCTCCACCCTCAGAAAGGCTCCAGTGCCTGTTGTTCCCCTCTATGTGTCCATGTGTTTTCATCATTTAGCTTCCATTTGTAAGTGAGAACACATGGTATTTGGTTTTCTGCTCCTGCATTAGTTTGCTAAGGATAATGGCCTCCAGCTCCATCCACGTTCCTGCAAAGATCTCCTTCTCTTTTATGGCCACATAGTATTCCATGGTGTATATGTATCACATTTTCTTTATCCAGTCTATAATTTATGGTCATTTAGGTTGATTCCACATCTTTGCTATTGTGCATAGTGCTGCAATGAACTTATGCTTGTATGTGTCTTTATAATAAAACGATTTATATTCCTTTGGGTATACATCCAGTACTGGGATTGCTACATCAAATGGTAGTTCTGTTTTTATGTCTTTGAGGAAGTGCCATGTTTTCTGCAGTGGTTCAACTAATGTACATTCCCACCAGCAGCGTATAAGTGTTTCTTTTTCTCTACAACCTCGACAGTGCTTGTTATTTTTTGACGTTTTAGTAATAGCCATTCTAACTGGTGTGAGATGGTATCTAATTGTGGTTTTGATTTGCATTTCTCTAAAGATCAGTGATGTTGAGCTTTTTCTTCATATGCTTGTTGACCACATGTATGTCTTCTTTTGAAAGGTTTCTGTTCATGTCCTTTGTCCACTTTTTAATGGTGTTTTGTTCTTTTTCTTGGAAATTTAAGTTCCTTATAGATGTTGGATATTAGACCTTTGTCAAATGTATAGTTTGCAAATATTTTTTCCCATTGTATTAGTCCATTCCCATATTTCTATAAAGAAATACCTGAGACTGGGTAATTTATGAAGAAAACAGGCTTAATTGGCTCACACTTCCACAGACTGTACAGGAAGCATGGCTGAGGAGGCCTCAGGGAACCTATAATCATGGCAGAAGATGAAGGGGAAAGCCTTCTGCCTATATTGTCAGAGCCTATATGTCCAGAGCAAGAGGAAGTGGGAAGAAGATACTACACACTTTTATACATCCAGATTGTGTGAGAACTCACTATTATGATGACAGCTCCAAGGGAGGTCATGGTAAACCATGAGAAACTGCCCCCATGATCCAATCACCTCCCAGCAGGCGCCACATCCAACACTGGGGATTAAAACTCAACATGAGATTTGGGCAGGGTCACAGATCCAAACCATGTCACCCATTCTGCAGGTTGTCTGTTTACTCTGTTGATAGCTTCTTTTGCTGTGCAGAAGCTCTTTAGTTTAATTAGATCCCATTTGTCAATTTTTGCTTTTGTTGTGATTGCTTTTGGTGTCTTTGTCATGAAATATTTGCCCATTCCTACGTCCAGAATGGTATTGCCTAGGTTGTCTTCCAGGACTTTTACAGTTTTAAGTTTTACATCTATGTCTTCCATTCATCTTGAGTTGATTTTTGTATATGGTGATAGGAAGGGGTACAGTTTCAATCTTCTGCATATGGCTAGCCAGTTATCCCACCACCATTTATTGAATAGGGAGTCCTTTCCCCATTGCTTGTTTTTGTCAGGTTTGTCAAAGATCAGATGGTTGTAGGTGTGCAGTCTTATTTCTGGGCTTTCTATTCTGTCCCATTGGTCTATGTGTCTGTTTTTGTACCAGTACCATGCTGTTTTAGTTACTGTAGCCCCATAGTATAGTTTGAAGTTGGTTAATGTGATGCCTCCAGTTTTGTTCTTTTTGCTTAGGATTTTCTTGGCTATTCAGGCTTTTATTTTTTTGGCTCCATATGAATGTTAAAACAGTTTTTTTCTGGTCTGTGAAGAATGTCATTGGTAGTTTGATAGGAATAGCACTGACTCTATAAATTGCTTGGGTAGTATGGCCATTTTCACGATATTGATTCTTCTTACTCATGAGCATAGAATGTTTTTACATTTGTTTGTATCATCTCTGATTTATTGGATCAATGGTTTACAGTTCTTCTTGCAGAGATCTTTCACCTCCCTAGTTCACTGTATTCCTATGTATTTTATTCTTTTTGTGGCAATTGTGAATGGGAGTTCGTTACTGACTTGGTTCTTGACTTGACTGTTGTTGGTGTATAGGAATGCTAGTGATTTTTATGTGTTGATTTTGTATCCTGAGACTTTGCTGACATTGTTTATCAGAGTAAGGAGCTTTGGGGCTGGGACTATGGGGTTTTCCAGATATAGGATCATGCTGTCTACAAACAGGGATAGTTGGACTTCCTCTCTCTATATTTGGATCCCCTTTATTTCTTTCTCTTGACTGATTGCTCTGGCTAGGACTTGCAATACTATGTTGAATAGGAGTGGTGAGAGAGGGCATCCTTGTCTTGTGCTGGTTTTCAAGAGGAATGCTTTCAACTTTTGCCCATTTAGTATGAAGTCAGCTGTGAGTTTGTCATAGATGGCTGTTACTATTTTTAGGTATCTATAAAAATTTTAAAGCAATGTGTTTGGTAATACATATGAGGAATACATTGCATGCCAAGGAAGAAAAAGATTCTTTCTATATAAGAATTTGGGAGATAATCACAGACATAGAGAGCAATCTGAAAGAAGACCCTAAGTCAAGACTGATTAAAGAGTTCCAAGAACTACAGCCAGCAAGAAAGACTAGCGAGACTGGTATAGAAGGATGGAAGATGATCATGCAGTTAGTTATAAGGGTAACTGGTATAGTTCTGAGCCATCAGTTCCCAATAATTTAAAACAGGAAAAGAATCTGAGATGTTTTTCTCTCTTCACGAAAAGACTGAGCTATACTGCTCCCATTGGGTCAGCCCTGGGAAGAAGTTTGCTAGGAATAACCACTGCAGGTCACATATGCTGTTCAGGGTCTGGAAAAGTGAGCCTTTCAGCAGAAATGGATTTCCTGAAAGGAATTAACTCCTTAATGTGCTGCAAGATGGAGAACACTGTAAAAATCTATGGGCCATAGGATTCTTCACCTTCACATAAAGAAAGCAAAGGGAGAAGAGTTAACTTTACAATAGAATAAATTCTTAGAGTATGATGGTTTCAGTGGCATGACGTTTTCTATATATTTAACCCCTCTGCTTTCTCCCTGAACACAGTGATATGTGTTCATTTTAATAAGAATTAACATTTTCTGTTAAAAAGAGAAATATGCTTTTTACAGATATGTTTGCCATTTATGGAATTGCCCTTGAGATGTTCAGAGTTTGAGGCAGACACATCCATTACTCAGGTCCCAAGCTCCTGGCTTCCATCTCTGTCACTGGACATTCTTAAAGAAATCTGAGAGGGCTTCATTTCAGGGGTGATCCAACATTTTGAAAAGTAATATAGGTTTATATTATTGACTTTGGCAACTTTTTTAAGCTCTCTGGGCCACCACTTTCTGGTCTACAAATGTAGATAATCATCACCTCCCATGATTGCTGTCAGTTTAGGAGGGTGTGGCAGCTTTGCAAAATGGTTTGCCAATTCCTCCAAAGCTTAGAAACATAATATTACTGCATGATCCAGCAATTCCATTCCTAGATATATACCCAAGATAACTGAAAACATCTGCCTACCCAAAAACTTATACATAAATGTTCATAGCAGCATTATTCACAAAGGTAGAAACAACCCAACTATCGATCACCTGATAAATGAATAAACAAAATGTGATCTATCCATACAATAAATTATTCAGCAACAAAAGGAAATTAACTACTGATACATGCTACAACATGAATAAATCTTGAAAACACCATTTTAAATGAAAGAAGTCAGTCACAAAAGACCACATATTGTATGACTGCATTTCTATGAAATGTCCAGAACAGACCAATCCATAGAGATAAAAAGTAGATTTTTGGTTTCTTAGGGCTGAGGAGAATGGAATGAGGGGTGGCTGCTAAAGGACACAGGATTTCTTTTTGAGATAATGAAAATATTCTAAAATTAGATAATGATGATAGTTGCACAACCTCGTGAATATACTCAAATCCCCTGAATTGCATGCTTTAAAAGGGTGAATTTTATGCTATGTGGATTATATCTCCAAAAACGGTATTGTTAAAAAGTAATCCTGTATTCTGTTGTTTGTCTGTAATTCTATTGTCAGTATCTGTATGTGGGATAACAAGATACATTTGTCTCCTCCGCTGGAATTTTTTGTTTTTGTTTTTGAGATGAGTCTTGCTCTGTCACCCGGGATGGAGTGCAGTGGTGTGATCTCAGCTCACTGCAACCTCTGCCTTCTGGGTTCAAGTGGTTCTCCTGCCTCAGCCTCCTGAGTAGCTGGGACTACAGGCGCATGCCACCACGCCCGGCTAATTTTTGTATTTTTAGTGGAGATGGGGTTTCACCATCTTGGCCAGGCTGGTCTGTAACTCCTGACCTCAAGTAATCCTCCCGCCTCGGCCTCCCAAAGTGCTGGGATTACAGGCATGAGCCACCGCACCAACCTGTGCTGGAATTTATACTGGCTTGTTCTACTACACTTTTAAATAATGAAGAACTTGTATAACTCAAATATAACCTTTTTTTTTTTTTTTTTTTTGCAGTTTCTCATGCATGGATATCAAGCAGAAGACTGCATGGAAAGAGACATACTATGCTTCTGGATGTTTGTAAGTAGATTAAACTATAAAAAGCCTGAGAAAAATATACTCACTTGGAGAACTTGCCTCTGAGAAGGATTTCAGCAAGCTCTTCTTGTTTTCTATAAAAACAGGGCACTTTTCTGAGTGAAGGAAAGAAGGTGTTTAGTTACTATCTGCTGAAATGCTGAGTCCAAACAAAATTATCTAATAGGGAGCCTGATAGGCTGGTTTGGAGGGGAAAGGCTGATACAGGAGAGTGACAAAATCCAGACCAGCCCACTCATGTGGTGATGTCTCATTACGAGCCTTGCAGAAGAAAATTTACCTCATTGCAAAAACTTCTACCCACACTTCCCCAGTCCCCCTTCATCTGTGTGAACTGTTACCTTATCGCTAGCTTATGAGAACCCTGAAGTTCAGCAATGAGACAAACTCACTCACGCTCCCATTGGAATCTACAAGGCAACTATACAGCCTTTGATGAGAAAGAAACAGTTAAGACTAATGAGGCATGCCTTTAAGTACCAGCCCTATAGTTGAAGAAACAGAAAACTTGAGACAGAAGTGATTATGAGAAGGGCAGGGTGAAGAGTGGGAGAATAAGGGAAAACACAGCTTATACTGACTCTCTGTGTTCTGAGATTTCTATGGTCCTGAATCGGAATCTGATATCTTAAAAATACACAGCAATGGCGTGTATGTGGAGATTTTTAAAATCCATTCAGATTTGAGAAAGATTTAGATCATAACTCTACAAAGGTAGTGTCCCAGAGGTTAATTACTATAATTCTTTATATCTCCCTTTTTAATCTAAATCATTTCTCGCCAATCTTGATTTCCAAAGCTCTGTTTTATCATCTCCAATAATACATATGCAGTTGTCAAATCATGCCTTGAAATTTGGTTTCAAAAACATAACCATTTATTTCCAGTATCAAACACAATGCCTGGCATAATACTTTTAAAAATTGTTGAATTATTAAACAAAAAATAATAAATGAATGAATACAAATAACTTAAAGAAAATGGAATCAGCTGAGCGCAGTGGCTCACACCTGTAATCCCAGCACTTTGGAAGACCAAGGTGGCTGAATCACTTGAGGTTAGTATTCAAGACCAGCCTGGCGAACAAGGTGAAACCCCATCTCTACTAAAAACACAAAAATTAGCCAGGCATGGTGGCGCACGCCTGTAGTCCCAGCCACTTGGAAGACTGAGACATAAGAATCACTTGAACCCAGGAGGCAGAGGTTGCAGTGAGCTGAGATCGCACCAATGCACTCCAGCCTGGGTGACAGAGTGAGACTCCATCTCAAAAAAAAAAAAAAAAAACAAAGGAAGGAAGGGAAGGAAAGAGGGAGGGAAGGAGGGAAGGAAGGAAGGAGGGAAGGAGGGAAGGAGGGAAGGAGGGAAGGAAGGAAGGAAGGAAGGAGAGAAAGGAGAGAAAAGAGAGAAAGGAGAGAAAGAAAGGAAAGGAAAGGAAAGAAAAGAGAAGAAAAGAAAAGAAAAGAAGAATCATTTGATTTAAAAGATTGAGGGGGCCAGGCTCAGTTGCTCACCCCTGTAATCCTAGCCAAGATGGTGAAACCTCGTCTTTACCAAAAATACAAAAATTAGCCAGGCGTGGTGGCATGCGTCTGTAGTCCCAGCTGCTCGGGAGGCTGAGGCAGGAGAATCACTTGAACCAGGAAGGTGGAGGTTGCAGTGAGCCGAGATTGCACCACTGCACTGCATTCTGGGTGACAGAGTGAGACTCGTCTCAAAAAAAAAAAATTCCAGCCCAGTAAATGTATATTGTTATCCCACATACAGATACTGATAATAGAATTACAGACAAACAATAGAATACAGGATTACTTTTTAACAACAGCCTTAAATGTAAAATATGTTTAAAAGCTTTTAATTTTTAATTATTTAATTAAATTATGTAATTATTTATTAATTATATAATTATTAATTAAAAGCCTCTATTAATCAATTATTAATATTCCAAAAAGTAGAAACAACCCAAATGTACATCAAGGAATGAACAGACAAGCAAAAGGTGCTCAATCCATACAATGAAATACTAGCCATAAAAAGAAATGAAGAACTGATACATACTACAACACAGGTGCTAAATTAAGGCACATACAAAAGATCACATATTTTATGATACCATTTATACAAATTGACCATAATGGGCAAATCCATAGAGGCATAAAGTGTATTGGCAGTTGCCAGGGGCTAGGGTGGAGGAAAGTGAAGATTAATGTCATTTACATGGGCATGATGGGTCTTCTTGGGATGATGAAAATGAATCATTAGCAAATTTACTACATATATCATTGAAATGTATACTTGAAAGAATAAATTAAATAATATGCAAAGTATATCTCAATAAAGTTTCTAAAAATTCATAGAAAAAGACTGACAGCAGGTTTCTTGGAGGGTAGGGAAATAGTATGATTCATTTCCTGTTCTTTTTTTACACTTCACAATGATTTGCAACTTTTCTACCTCAACAAATTCTTACACTACGTTCCCCAAAAGTAGTCCTGAGATGAAGAACTGTGTAAAAGTGATTCATAAGAAGTAGTCCCAGGAAAAAACAGGAGCATGAGAAAGGGAGACTAAGTAGGTAAGAATGGTGAGTAAACATGTGACATCAGACAAAGAGCCTGAGAGGGTTAACTATGGCTCCATCCTGCAGAGGAGGAAGATGGGGGAAGGGGAAGTTGATGAGACAGTGTGGGTCCCACTCAAAGTCATCTGCTCAGGAAGCTGGAGTATTTATAATACCACCCATACAAACATAAAACACACAACACCAATCAGCCATTGGCTGACACCCCTACCTCCACCCCTGCCTGGAATGGTAAATTCACAGGAACTTGTGGTTCTTTGTGTGCCACAGCCTAAGGTTGATCCTCCAAGAAAGAGATACAAGTACTTGGCTATTGGGAGTGAAAGTACCCAGGAACTGATGTGCACGATAAATGGTACAAGGAGGCATGAGAATACAGATGAAGCTCTGGCAGCATCTTCAACAAGCATGTTTTCATTATATAAGCAGGAGAAGACAAAATAGGGATAAAAGTATATTCCTGGTATATAATATATACAAAAATATAGTACTATATCATTATATGGTATTATAGTATTAGTGGTTATATCTCTAATATATTTAGTATATACTAGTGATATAATCCACATGTACATAATAATAAAGGTTGAACACTACTTCTGAGACAGTATATAAAATTTTAGAAAAGCCCAAAAGAGAAGATGTGCTTGACCTTTTCTTTGAAGAAATGAGAATTAAAATCCAAAATGTCACAGAAGACAAGGAGTTGTTTGTTAGCTCAGAGGAAGCTGTTGGTGGTGGGGGCTGCATTTGGGGAAAGCAAGGTCTGAAGAGCCTCTGGTGAATTTCTTGCCAGAAGATGACCCTCACTACCTGGCAGCATTCTATTAGAGCATATTTGCACCTTTAATTCTAGACAGACCCCAGAAGTAATGTCTCTGAGTACAAAATTTGGACATGCAAAATAACTTTAGTGTCTGGAATCAAAGAAAGGATATGAATGTATCTCATCAGTTAGTTGTTTCCTAAACAGTTTATTTCTTTGGAATTTGCAACAAATGACCAGTCAGTTGAAAAGATCGGTCAACTCTGTATGTACTTTGAACTATTCTAGAAATACAAAAATCCTGAAGAATAACACTTCAGTGTTTATTTATCCTCTAATCCTCTAAAGTCAATTGCTCCTGCAAAACCTCCTATTCTCATGATTATTCCAGGAGAAGTGGAAATGTGACCTTTGGCTCTCATAGAGTGGCTGGCAGAATTATCTGAAACTAGCAGGGGAAAAAGCAGTGAAAAGAAGCCTATCCAAGTAGACTACATACCGTATGATTCCAGTTCTATAACATTCTGGAAAAGACCAAACCATAATGACAGTAAAAGATCATTGGTTGCCAGACTTTACGGAGGATGAGCAGGTGGAGTATAGAGGATTTTTAGGGTAATGAAACTATTCTGTATGATACTATAATGGTGGATACATGTGTTATACATTTCTCCAAATTCACAGAATGTACAACACCAAGAGTGAACCCTAACGTGAACTATAGACTTTGGGTGATAAAGATACGTCAATGTAGGTTTACCAATTGTAACAAAGGTATCACTTTGGTGCAAACCTCTGGATAGTGGGAAAAGCTGTTGCAGTGGGTGGACAGGGCATGTATGGGAACTCTGTACCTTCATCTCAATTTTTGCTGTGAACTGAAAACTGCTCTAAAAATAAGGTCGATTTAAAAGAAAAGAAAAAAAAAAAACAGTGAGGAGAAAAACATGGTCCTCTCAGAAGGTATTAATTCACTATACCCAATGACCTAGAGCCTTGGCCAGGGTCAGCTAGGTAACTGGCAGGGCCCAGCGCAAAATAAAAATGCAGAGCCACTTGGTCAAAAAATTTAAAATTCCAAAATGGTGGAAACAGCATTAAATCAAGCATGGGGCCTCTCTAAACAATGGGCGTTCATTCACATGCTGATGAAGTTGGCTCTGGCCTTGACATACAGTTCCCTGTTTAAAACCCTTCAAAGCCCCCTGTAAACAGTGAGGAAATTGGAAGTCCTTAACTAATTTGACATGCCCTTCATGATATCCCAGTCCCATTCCCCCTTCAGCTTTATTTCTCTCAGCCCCACCCTACTCTCTATGCTCTTAGTCACCCAGAGCTTCCTTTACTTTCTAAAATTTGGCATGCTCCCTTTGCCTCAAGGCCTTTGTATGTATTTCCCTTACCTGGAATACAATTCCTCCAATTTTTCATCACTCTGCTATTGATCCTACAGGTCTCAGTTCAGCAGAGAAGTCACAGCTAAGTAAATCAATGCTTACATTATATATTAAGTACTATTTTAAATATATTTAACACGATTTTAAAATGCTATAAAATTTAGAAAAGAAAAATACCTTCCTTATGCAATAAATAACCTAATTCAGGGGTCGTCAACTCCCCCACCACAGACCGGTACTGGTACATGGCCTGTTAGGAACCAGGCCTCAACAGCAGGAGGTGAGCATTGCGTGAGTGAACATTACCACCTGAGCTCTGACCTCTGTCAGATCAGTGGCATTAGATTCTCATAGGACCATGGACTCTATTCTGAACTGCACATTCAAGGGATCTAAGTTTCATACTCTTATGAGAATCTAATGCCTGATGATTTGAGGAACAGTTTCATCTTGAAATCACCCCACCACACACCACCTATGAAAAAATTGTCTTCCATGAAACCAATTCCTGGTGCCAAAAAGGTTGGGGATACTGTTCTAATTGCTTCATACATAAAAATCTGTATTTCGCAAAGCAGTTTTATATAAAATAAGGCACACTTGTAATTTTCAATATTGCTTGTCATGTTGCTAGTTGTTTAAGAAGCACAAGGTTCTGAACACTTGCTCTTGTTTACACAATAGAAAACAAAGCCTGAGATGATGCAGTCTTCTTGTTAAACACAACTTTCTGGAGATTTCTTCATTCTCTTAAAAATGAATGATCAGTTGGGCGCAGTGGCTCACGCCTGTAATCCCAACACTTTGGGAGGCCAAAGCGGGCAGATCACGAGGTCAGGAGTTTGAGACCAGCCTGGCCAACATGGTAAAACCCCATCTCTACTAAAGGTACAAAAAATTAGCCGGGCGTGGTGGCGTACGCCTGTAATCCCAGCTACTCGGGAGGCTGAGACAGGAGAATCACTTGAACACGAGAGGCAGAGGTTGCAGTGAGTCAAGATCGTGCCATTGCACTCCAGCCTGGGTGACAGGGTGAGACTCTGTCTCAAAAAAAAGAGAAGGATCAAAAAAAAAAAAAAAAAAAAAAAGGTTCCCTGTTTAATAAATGGTGTTGGGAAAACTGGCTAGCCATATGCCGAAAACTGAAACTGGACCCCTTCCTTACACCTTATACAAAAAACAACTCAAGATAGATCAAATACTTAAACGTAAGACCTAGGACCATAGAAATCCTAGAAGAAAACCTGGGCAATACCATCAGGACATAGGCATGGGCAAAGACTTCATGTCTAAAAACACGAAAAGCAATGGCAACAAAAGCCAAAATTGACAAATGGGATCTAATTAAACTAAAGAGCATCTGCATGGCAAAAGAAAATATCATCAGAGTGAACAGGCAACCTAGAGAATGGGAGAAAACTTTTCCAATCTATCCATCTGACAAAGGGCTAATATCCAGGATCTACAAAGAACTTAAACAATTTTATAAGGGAAAAACAAAACATCAAAAAGTGAGCAAAGGATATGAACAGACACTTCTCAAAAGAAGACATTTATGCAGCCAACAGACATGAAAAAATGCTCATCATCGATGGTCATTAGAGAAATGCAAATCAAAACCACAATGATATACCATCTCACACCAGTTAGAATGGCGATCATTAAAAAGTCAGGAAACAACAGATGCTGGAAAGGATGTGGAGGAATAGGGACACTTTTACACTGTTGGTGGGAATGTAAATTAGTTCAACCATTGTGGAAGACAGTGTGGCAATTCCTCAAGGATCTAGAACTAAAAATACCATTTGACCCAACAATCCCATTACAGGGTATGTACCCAAAGGATTATAAATCATTCTATTATAAAGACACATGCACACATATGTTTATTGTGGCACTATTCACAATAGCAAAGACTTGAAACCAACCCAAATGTCCATCAATAATAGACTGGATAAAGAAAATGTGGCACATACACCCCATGGAATACTATGCAGCCATAAAAAAGGATGAGCTCATGTCCTTTGCAGGGACATGGATGAAGCTGGAAACCGTCATTCTCAGCAAACTATCACAATAACAGAAAACCAAACATTGCATATTCTCACTCATAAGTATGAGTTGAACAATGAGAACACATGGACATAGGGAGGGGAACATTACACACCAAGACCTGTCGGTGTATGGGGAAGTAGGGGAGGGATAACATTAGGAGAAATACCTAATGTAGGTGACGGGTTGATAGGTGCAGCAAACCACCATGGCACATGTATACCTATGTAACAAAACTGCACGTTCTGTACATGTACCCCAGAACTTAAAGTATGTTAAAAATAAAAAAGAACTTAGACTACTCCCCCATAAAAATTGCTTTTATAATATTGTAATTTTTGGTCCAACTTGCCCCAAATTCTCCAAAATTAACACCCAAGTCCTTAGAGAACAAGGTTTGGCCCCCAGGCTTGGAATTTGAAAGGTGTTCAAATTTGGCCTCTTCTAAATTCTCTGGTCTCATGACTCACACTTATCTTTGATACTCAAAGGTTTCAAAGCACATTGTCTTTGATCATAGCTATTTTCCTGGCTTGTGAGTGTCTTGATATCTCTTCTTTGCCCACCTGATCCAAGCATGTAATAAATTATTTTTTGTTAAAACTAATGTGTGGCACTTTTCATAAAACAACTCATGCTATTATTTTGATATGTAGCTAGGGTGATCAACTCGTACCAGTTTTCTTGGGACCTTTTGTTTTTTCTCATTGAAAATTCAATTTCTCAGGACTCCTTCCCCCACTGAGTCCCAGGCAAACTGGGACGGTTGGTCACCCCATACCCTTTGATTTAAATTATAAGCTTATCTGTGTTTTTCACAGGCTTAACACAGGGCTTTAAGCATAACATTTACTCAGAAATATTTGTGATTAATTTCAATTGCATGCATTTTTGTTGCTGCATTTTTAAGCATCCATTTCCAAAATAGTGGTTTTCTGTGAATTTATCATAAGGTCCAAGTACTGTTATAATTAGACAAAATGGTCTGCCAATTCCTGGCAACCTAAAGAGAAAAAGGAAAGTTCAAAGCCAAAAATGTTAATAGCTTTTAAAAAAAATACAGCACAGCTAGGAAAATCCTTGTTAACTAAGTCTACATCTTATCTGTGACCACTGAGAAATATTTCAGTAGGAGTGAAGTTTATGGCCAATTTAATATAGCTGATTAGCATCTGTTCTACCGCCTTTTTTTGTGGGTAGTGATAGTCGAGTATTGAATCTGCCCTTTTTTCCTTGTCAAATATGTTGCATTAAAAATTACTTGGAATCCCCATGGGAGAAGCAAATATCATTCTGTAAGCTGTAAGGAATTATAGAGTTTATCACTGTTAACATAAAAAGCAAAGCCAAAATCAACATTTTTACTCAGAAACTGACAGCAGGTCAGGGCTTGAACTTGGCTTTTGAGAAACACAAGCAATCAAGACTAAGCAATAATGTTCCAGGCAGAGAGAAGAGCGTGAGTAAGGACTTACAAGTGAGGGACCATGAGGCATATTCAAGAAGTGTGTTTTGTTTGCAAAAAAAAATTGAGGACAGCATAGAGTTGGGGCTAAGGATGAAAAAGTAGAGAAGTGAATTCAGAGTTTAGACTTGATTCTAAGAGCAATGCGGAACCATCAAAACATTTTTGCAGGGAAGTAGATGTTAGAAATTTATTTTCAAAAAATCACTCAAATAACAAAAGGAGAGAGTGCATTGTTGGTGGGTCAAATTGGAGGCAGAGAGTCCAGTCCTATGACTGTCACAGGTCGTGGTGTGATCTCACATGGCACACTGGAGAGAGGGAAACTGGAGAGATGTTTAGAAAATGGAAGACATACCACTTGATAACTGATTGGATGTAGGGTGGGGACACGGGACAACAGAAGGGTAGAAACTGACATTCAAGTACCTGGCTTCAGCAATCAGTGGACCTGGTGTCCTTCACAGGGATGGAAACTCTGGAAGAGGATGAGAGGGGATGGGGAGATGATAAATTCAGCTGTTTTATACACTGACCCTTAAGTTGACAAAAACCTACAAAGAACACCAGCTTACAGTGCCACTTTCTTTAAAACAGATACATACTTTATTTTTTTTTAATTTCAACTTTTATTTTAGATATGGTGGTACATACAGCAGGCTTGCTATGTGGGTATATTGTGCCCAGGCAGTGAGCAAAGTACCCAACAGGTAGTTTTTCAATCCATACCCCCTCCTTTCCTCCCCACTCTAGTAGTCCACAGTGTCTATTCTTTCCACGTTTATATCCATATGTGCTCAATATTTAGCTTCAACTTCTAAGTGAAAACATGCAGTGTTTAGTTTTCTGTTCCTGTGTTAATTCACTTAGAATTATGGCCTCTAGCTCCATCCATGTTGCTGCAAAGGACATGACTTCATTCTTTTTATGGCTGCACAGTATTCCACGATGTATATGTACCACATTTTTATATTCTAAATCCATAGTTTCCATTTAAGAAACACAGCCATGGCCAGGCATGGTGGTTCACATCTGTAATCCCAGCACTCTGGGAGGCTGAGGTGGGAGGATTGCTTGAACACAGGAGTTTGAGACCAGTCTGGGTAACATGGTAAGACCCCCATCTCTACAAAAACATTTTTAAATTAGCCCAGCATAGTGGGGCATGGATGTGTTTCCAGATACTTGGGAGGCTGAGATGGGAGAACTGCTTGAGCCTGGGGGGTCAAGGTTGCAGTAAGTCGTGATCATGACACTGTACTCCAGCCTGGGCAACAGAGCGAGACCTTGTCTCAAAAAAAAAAAAAAAAAAGAAAAGAAAAGAAAAGAAAGGAAAAAGAAAGCTATTTATTTTCAGGCTGAGTAATAAACCGTGTGTGTGTGTGTGGTGTGTGTGTGTGTGTGTGTGTGTGTACCTCATCTTCTTGATCCCTTCATCTATCTGTGGGAATTAAGGTTGTTTCTATGTCTTGGCTATTGTGAATAATACTGCAAGGAACACGGGAGTGCAGGTATCTCTCTGAGATCCTGATTTTAATTCCTTTGGGTAAATATCTAGAAGTGGAATCTCTGGGTCACATGATAGTTCTATTTTTTATTTTTTAAATTTGTAATTGCTCCATAATAATTGTACATATTTATGAGGCACAATGTGATGTTTTAGTGCATGTATACATAGTATAATGATCAAATTGGGGTAGTTTTATATCCATCATTTTAAACACTTATAATTTCTTTACAGTAACAATACTCAAAAATCTATTTTCAAATCATTGAAGAATCTCCATGTGTTTTTGGACATTATGGTAAATGAAATAAGACAAATACTACATAATATCACTTATATGTGGAATCTAAAATAGTTGAACTCATAGAGGCAGATAGTAGAATGGTAGTTTTCAGGGGCTGCGGTAACAGGGGAATGGAGAGATGTTGCTCAAGAAGTACAAGTTTCAGTTATGCCAGATTAATAAATTCTGGGGCTCTGGCGGATAGCATGGTGACTACAGGTAACAATAGTGTATACTTGAAATTTGCTAAGGGGATAGATCCTAAGTGTTCTTACCATACACACTCAAACCGGTAACTATGTGAGGTGCGGATATGATCATAAACTTGACTGTAGTGATTATTTCACAATGCATATGTATATCAAATCATAAAGTTGTATACCTTAAGAACATACACAAAAAGGAAACACAGCAGTACAATGAAATGTGTGGTTTCAAAACAAATGTTTCTACTTGTGCAAAATAAAGAATGCAGAGAGTAAACGGAACAGAGATGTCAATTTGTAATAAGTCTGGGCTTTCAGTGATATAATACCCTATGTTCTAGGGAAGCTCTTTTTTCTGGAAACTCTCATAGGTGGCTGGCTCTGCAGTGATAGCCAAGATACCATGCACCACTCTCAAAAGCCATTTGACCAGAATACAGGCGCAGCATGCTGCCCATACATGAATTCCTGGGAATCCAAAGTAAGCCAAAGTAAAACAGTATCCAGAAGTACAGTTGTAATTTTGACTATACAAGAATCCCAGAGTATATCTGGATGGTAACACACCAGATTAACCAGACTGTCAAGGACCAGATGCTTTCAGTGTTGAATGTGGGGGAAGAAACACTCTTGCGTTCTATTTCATAAGCTCCAAGCCCAGAAACAAATAGGGAAAATCTCAGCATTGCAGCAGAATAACAAAGTCTTTTATAAAATTTAAACTTGTGAAACAGATATTATTGATGCCCCACCCTTGACCTCTACCTCTGCTTGCTGAAGCCTGCCTACTGGGAACACCTGTAAATCTCTGCCTGAGGGCTTTTCTTCTGGCTGAAGGAGCAAGACCTCCTGTTCAGGGCTAAATGGAAATACCAGAAAGTTAATGTCCTTGGAAGAAGCCCTTACCAATGACAAATGAAGTGTTGGTGGGCAAATACATCAACCTCCCTGGTCCCCAGTTGGGATAACTCTGAGAGGTGTTCCATACTATCTCCCAAAGTGTTCTGGCAGGATTGAGCCCAGTGGGCAAGCATGTGAGTGTATGGAGTTTATTTTGCTGATGTTCCCAGGAAACACCAGTAGGGGAGTGTGAAGTGAGATTGGCAAGGGAAGAAAGCCAGTAGCACAGCTTCCCACTGTGGGCCACTGGGGTTCAGTTCTGCTGGGGACCTTTGCAAGCCTGGGTGGAACATGTCTCAGAGATTTTATAGCAAAGCTAAGGAAACACACTGGACATGTGCTAAGGGTTGATCCCGGCAGATGTGACTGCTTGGCACTTCCAGCCTGTGCCGTGCAGAGGCTAGAAAGGCTGCAGCATCCACAGAGGCATGTCCATAGAGTGGCATGGGCTGGTAGACGGAAGTCAACAGTCAGACCATACGGGAACAGTGAATGTTAAGCACAAAGAAGCACAAACCAGGAAAGAGGGTACCAGCAAGCAGTTCCAAGTGACTGATTGGGATAAGTCCTAAGGACTAGTAGGAGCTAGTAGGGCTTGGGAGAGGGGTGTGGGAGAGGGACAGCAGCAGTGTATGGGAAGGGAGCCATCATGAAGGGAGGCCTATTAGGTGGGAGGCTGGTGAACTTATCCAAAAGAGCAGTGGCGCCTGCCTGGTGGCAGGGAGAGGAGGTAGAGCTGGAGAGAGGGGATGGAATCAAGAGGATGTGGTGAATGGTGGGAGGGTAAAGAATCACAGAAAGGAGGAAATTCTCAGATGTCTGCCTCCAGACACCAGATGGCTGCACCATTCATGGTACCAGGGACACAGAGGGACAGACCATTTATTTATGCCTCAGAGTGAGCATCACGAGTTAGTTTTTAACATGTTTAGTTTGAGGCCTATGGGGTATTGAAATAAAAGCATGCTATGGACATTACTGGTAAGGAACCTAGAAGCAGTCTGTGCTGAAGACAAATATTTCATAGCATCCAATATAAGATAAAACTGATTCAACAGAGATTTTTTAAAATGTCTACTATGTGCCGGCCAATATGTCAATTTCTAGAGACATGAAGTGGTGAATATGAATTAAGAAGTCCTTTCCTTCTTGAAGCTTATAGCACAACCATGTTGGCAGTAACCACAGCGCCTGAGAAGATGCCCAGGGAGAGCATGGACATTAAGAACAGAACTCTGAGCGACTCCAACATCTGAAGGACGACCACGGCAAAGAAAACACTTAAAAGAAGCTAAGAATAAATGGCAAGTACAAAAAAAAGTGAGACAAAGCCTGAAAGAACCTAGAATTACAGTGCAGTTTTACTAGTCAGAGTGGTGCTGTGTGTATGGAGGTGAGAGGGGGTTGCTTAGCAAAAATGGAGTGAGTTCAAGAGTTAAGGATGAGAAAAGAACTAGGGATATTTATATTGTAACTGTAGACAGCACAAATATTCTCTACCACTAGATAGTAAAATGTAACTGATACTTTTTTAAGTCTTATTTTGATGCTTCATAAATATATATAATTTGTTCTTTAGATCATGACATATCTTAATAAAAAAAGCAACACCTCCCATCAGTAAAATGCTTTAAAGTTTATCAAACAAAACATTTGTCTGGGTATCTGCTAGGATTCTTGGTTGCAAGTAACAGAAATTTAAATCTAACTTAAAAAGCAAAGGGTTACATTGCAATATATTGGAAGAATATTAGCATTTTCTCAAGATTCAGGCTTGGAAAATGCACAGGAATCTAGGGAGGCTACATAGGTGTCTCTAGTGGATACCTGACACTTTCTCAGTGCCTGTGCAGTGCCACTGTCATGGGACCCAGTGGCCACACTACCCTGCCACTTACCTCCAGGCTACAAGTTCAGGAACAAATAACTGATTGGTTGAGTCTATGTTATGAGCCCTTGCACTGCCCACCGGGGCATGGGAGAGGGATTATTTTCCCCCCTCAACCTCTTGCAGAAGGAGGTAGGGATATGCTTCCCATCCCAATTCACACGGTGGGTATTGTCCAGTCGAGGAAAGGGGTGCTAATGTGGCACTGCCAACTGTCCACAACCTCTGGTGTGCTTATCTGCCAGACCCATGCTGAAGTTCTTTACTAAACCTCTATGTGGTCAATTACCATTATCCCTAATTGACACTGGAGGACACTGGAAATCAGGGCACTTACATGCAAGCATTAGCAGTAGGATCCCCACTGAGGAGGTGAGCTCAACTCATTTGAGTGCTTATGGACTCATGCTTTGCCCAAAACACCAGATGTGTCTGAGTGACAGGACAGTAGAAAATCCCGAAAGACTGAAAACCACTAAACTGGCCCACCTGACTTTATGATTATTCTTAAGTCACAGAGATTGTGATACACATTTTCATCAGCATGGCACTGATTGAGGTTATGTGCTCCAGAAAGGGCCATGAACACGATCTTCGCTCTGAAAAGCAGAGTGGAATTTCTGCCCTGGAAACTAGCACTAAGGTTGCTCATTCCATCCCACTGGTAGTGGCTCTCAAGCAGCATTTAAGCCCTGAGCAAAAATTGTGAAATTCCTAACTTGGTTTTCAGGCCACTTAATCCACTGAGAGTGTAATTTATATCCTGGGAAATAGCAAATGCTACCCTGATGAAGGGGATCTACAGATGTGAGCATTTCAGTCCTGTTTTTATAATTTTTAAAAAAATTAACAGAGCTTCAAAGTGAAAACTGTTTTGCTTTTCACATAAAACAAAGTGCAAAACAATGCTGTAGAAAGTGTTTTACCCTCAGTCAATTGCTGCTTTGACTTACAAATGCATGGGTAGGTATGTATGTGCAATGTTTACAGACCTCATTTGTGTATATGTATGTGTAGAGGGGGATGCTTTAAATACATCAGTTTTGAGACATCAAAGGGTCTGTGGTTTCTGTGACTCTGATATTAGATATTACTTGTGATTT